ATATACCTTGTATCTATTTGCCACGGCAGTCCTCAGTGTTCCATGATTTCATATATACGTCATATCTATTTGCCACAGCAGTCCTCAGTGTTCCATGATTTCATATATACCTTGTACCTATTTGCCACAGCAGTCCTCAGTGTTCCATGATTTCTCATATATATTGTATCTATTTGCCACAGCAGTCCTCAGTGTTCCATGATTTCATATATACCTTGTATCTATTTGCCAAGGCAGTCCTCAGTGTTCCATGATTTCATATATACCTTGTATCTATTTGCCACAGCAGTCCTCAGTGTTCCATGATTTCTCATATATACATTGTATCTATTTGCCACAGCAGTCCTCAGTGTTCCATGATTTCATATATACGTCGTATCTATTTGCCACAGAAGTCCTCAGTGTTCCATGATTTCTCATATATACATTGTATCTATTTGCCACAGCAGTCCTCAGTGTTCCATGATTTCATATATACGTCGTATCTATTTGCCACAGCAGTCCTCAGTGTTCCATGATTTCATATATACGTCGTATCTATTTGCCACAGCAGTCCTCAGTGTTCCATGATTTCATATATACCTTGTATCTACTTGCCAAGGCAGTCCTCAGTGTTCCATGATTTCATATATGCCTTGTATCTATTTGCCAAGGCAGTCCTCAGTGTTCCATGATTTAATATATACCTTGTATCTATTTGCCACAGCAGTCCTCAGTGTTCCATGATTTCATATATACATTGTATCTATTTGCCACAGCAGTCCTCAGTGTTCCATGATTTCATATATACCTTGTATCTATTTGCCAAGGCAGTCCTCAGTGTTCCATGATTTCATATATACCTTGTATCTGTTTGCCACGGCAGTCCTCAGTGTTCCATGATTTCATATATACCTTGTATCTATTTGCCACAGCAGTCCTCAGTGTTCCATGATTTCATATATACCTTGTATCTATTTGCCACAGCAGTCCTCAGTGTTCCATGATTTCTCATATATATTGTATCTATTTGCCACAGCAGTCCTCAGTGTTCCATGATTTCATATATACCTTGTATCTATTTGCCAAGGCAGTCCTCAGTGTTCCATGATTTCATATATACCTTGTATCTATTTGCCACGGCAGTCCTCAGTGTTCCATGATTTCTCATATATACATTGTATCTATTTGCCACAGCAGTCCTCAGTGTTCCATGATTTCATATATACGTCGTATCTATTTGCCACAGCAGTCCTCAGTGTTCCATGATTTCATATATACGTGGTATCTATTTGCCACAGCAGTCCTCAGTGTTCCATGATTTCTCATATATACATTGTATCTATTTGCCACAGCAGTCCTCAGTGTTCCATGATTTCATATATACGTCGTATCTATTTGCCACAGCAGTCCTCAGTGTTCCATGATTTCATATATACGTGGTATCTATTTGCCACAGCAGTCCTCAGTGTTCCATGATTTCATATATACCTTGTATCTACTTGCCAAGGCAGTCCTCAGTGTTCCATGATTTCATATATGCCTTGTATCTATTTGCCAAGGCAGTCCTCAGTGTTCCATGATTTCATATATACCTTGTATCTATTTGCCACAGCAGTCCTCAGTGTTCCATGATTTCTCATATATACATTGTATCTATTTGCCACAGCAGTCCTCAGTGTTCCATGATTTCATATATACCTTGTATCTATTTGCCAAGGCAGTCCTCAGTGTTCCATGATTTCATATATACCTTGTATCTATTTGCCACAGCAGTCCTCAGTGTTCCATGATTTCTCATATATACATTATATCTATTTGCCACAGCAGCCCTCAGTGTTCCATGATTTCATATATACATCGTATCTATTTGCCAAGGCAGTCCTCAGTGTTCCATGATTTCTCATATATACATTGTATCTATTTGCCACAGCAGTCCTCAGTGTTCCATGATTTCATATATACGTCATATCTATTTGCCACAGCAGTCCTCAGTGTTCCATGATTTCTCATATATACATTGTATCTATTTGCCACAGCAGTCCTCAGTGTTCCATGATTTCTCATATATACATTGTATCTATTTGCCACAGCAGTCCTCAGTGTTCCATGATTTCATATATACATTGTATCTATTTGCCACAGCAGTCCTCAGTGTTCCATGATTTCATATATACGTGGTATCTATTTGCCACAGCAGTCCTCAGTGTTCCATGATTTCATATATACCTTGTATCTATTTGCCAAGGCAGTCCTCAGTGTTCCATGATTTCTCATATATACATTGTATCTATTTGCCACAGCAGTCCTCAGTGTTCCATGATTTCATATATACCTTGTATCTATTTGCCAAGGCAGTCCTCAGTGTTCCATGATTTCATATATACCTTGTATCTATTTGCCACAGCAGTCCTCAGTGTTCCATGATTTCTCATATATACATTATATCTATTTGCCACAGCAGCCCTCAGTGTTCCATGATTTCATATATACATCGTATCTATTTGCCAAGGCAGTCCTCAGTGTTCCATGATTTCTCATATATACATTGTATCTATTTGCCACAGCAGTCCTCAGTGTTCCATGATTTCTCATATATACATTGTATCTATTTGCCACAGCAGTCCTCAGTGTTCCATGATTTCATATATACGTCATATCTATTTGCCACAGCAGTCCTCAGTGTTCCATGATTTCTCATATATACATTGTATCTATTTGCCACAGCAGTCCTCAGTGTTCCATGATTTCTCATATATACATTGTATCTATTTGCCACAGCAGTCCTCAGTGTTCCATGATTTCATATATACATTGTATCTATTTGCCACAGCAGTCCTCAGTGTTCCATGATTTCATATATACGTGGTATCTATTTGCCACAGCAGTCCTCAGTGTTCCATGATTTCATATATACCTTGTATCTATTTGCCAAGGCAGTCCTCAGTGTTCCATGATTTCTCATATATACATTGTATCTATTTGCCACAGCAGTCCTCAGTGTTTCATGATTTCATATATACGTCGTATCTATTTGCCACAGCAGTCCTCAGTGTTCCATGATTTCTCATATATACATTGTATCTATTTGCCACAGCAGTCCTCAGTGTTCCATGATTTCATATATATGTCGTATCTATTTGCCATAGCAGTCCTCAGTGTTCCATGATTTCATATATACGTGGTATCTATTTGTCACAGCAGTCCTCAGTGTTCCATGATTTCATATATACGTGGTATCTATTTGCCACAGCAGTCCTCAGTGTTCCATGATTTCATATATACGTGGTATCTATTTGCCACAGCAGTGCTCAGTGTTCCATGATTTCACATATACGTGGTATCTATTTGCCACAGCCGCTCCTCAGTGTTCCATGATTTCTCATATATACATTGTATCTATTTGCCACAGCAGTGCTCAGTGTTCCATGATTTCATATATACGTGGTATCTATTTGCCACAGCCGCTCCTCAGTGTTCCATGATTTCTCATATATACATTGTATCTATTTGCCACAGCAGTACTCAGTGTTCCATGATTTCATATATACGTCGTATCTATTTGCCACAGCAGTCCTCAGTGTTCCATGATTTCTTATATATACATTGTATCTATTTGCCACAGCAGTCCTCAGTGTTTCATGATTTCATATATACCTTGTATCTATTTGCAATGAAGCTTCCTTCACCCAAGGGATCAAGTTAATCAATCAAAATGATTGATTTTCTCACCTTTTAATACCTCAAAATTCACTTGAAGTATTATTTCCAAGGCCACCTGAAAACAAATATCCCCAGCAGGGGAAGATTTCATGTATAATAATCATTACGAATGTAACAACCACATTTCTATCATCAGAAAAACAAATATAATGATTTTTTAAAGTAGTACAATGAACAAAGGCAAGTCTTTGTGCTGTAAAGTCTCTCTTCCTTTCCCATGCCCCGTTTTAAACAAAGGACTGGCGGCTCGGCTCAGGAGTAAGCAGCCCCTAGGAGCTCAGACCCTGCGCACGCAAGCTCCGCCCTCGTCCGCGCCCTCCCTGGGGAAAGTGGACAGAGATGCTGACGATGAATCTCCTTCACAAACTTGTGCTTCACAGTTTCTAGCTCTCCTTATTTGTCATCAGTAATTTAATACAAATCTATAAATGTTATGGATTTAATGCAGATCGAATAAAAGACAGTCAAGAAGGTAACTGGAGATCAAGAGACCTAGAACTACAATCTGCCAGGTGCCTAGGTGTGCCAAGCATGCTACACACATTGTTTCCTTGATCTTCGCGAACATCCTGTGAAGGAGACCCTCATACACCCGGTTCCGCACGAGGAAAGGGAGGTCAATACCTGGCCCTGGCTTGGTGCGTGCCGGTCGGCCAGTCTGGCCTGTCCTCAAATCCTGTCCTCTACTAAAGTAGCTTGAAATTCAACCTTAAGATTTGGGTGATTTATTCTTCATTAATTACTCTTTCAGATAATCTATGTCAAGCTAAAAATAAAATAAAATACATCATGACATCAGTTTGGGAATCTTCTATTTGCAATAAAAAATATATATATATTGGGAAAGACTCCTTAATCTTGGTCAACTTGGCAATAAATTTAGTATCTGTTTTTTTATTGTTTTTATATAGATAAGCCTGAAGCCAAGGAGGAAAAAAATTAGTCTTTCAGAAAGGGTTTTCTTCGATAAATCATCATGCTGACAAATGAAATGACAGCGCCCTCCCTCCCCAGCTGACAGGCAGCCTGGCGGGGGCTGTGAACATGCGCTCGGGCAGGCTGACTGGTTTAATTGGCAGTCGTGCCTCAAACCTGTGGAGGAACTGATGCTGAACGAGTCGGCTCCTTCAGTGATATTCCGCAGTTTGAATGCAGCAATCCAACCAAAGGCTCTTAAAGTTGTTCTATTTATTGTTGAAACCAACCAACCAAGTGACTACTTCCCTTTTATTTTCTAAAATTGTGTGCTTTTACTGAAAGCCATCATTTAAACATGCTTCAAAGAAAAGATTTCTTACCAGATTTTCCCATATCTCAAACTGGGAGGTACCAGAGGCAGACACTGTCGTGAGGAATAAATCTAGAAGAAAAACAACCGCATTGTAAATTTTGTGGGCAATGTGTATACTTAAACACAGGAAAAAATGTACGTACAACGGTTATTCATACAGTTGTACGTAAACATGTTCTAAGTGATAGTTCAAGGAGCTTGATCCCATCAAAGAAGATGACCCTGTGCTGCTACAATGAAGGACATACAGTGAGGGGGGCGTTTGAGAGGGGTCTCCCGAAGCATCCGAGCACCAGTGAGGACGTCTCTGGCCGGTCCTCTCCATCCTCCACAGAAAGAGGAGGCTGTCCGAGAAATAAAAACCCTCCCCGTCTTAGATGCCCAGGCCCCCAAACAATCCTTTCTTTCCCTTTGCGACAGCTCCCTTGCCCCACCCTCCTCATGAAACCTCCCATTCTGCATGGCCCCTCGGAGGGCCCTTCCGGTTGCTGCCTGATTGGTGAGTCACTTGGGAAAGCAGTTAGATCTGCACATTTCCTCGGTGGGATTTTGTTCTACCAGAAGGCAGACTACATCTTAAGAGACGGCCTCCAGGCCATGAGCACACCCGCCTCCTGGCTCTGACAGCGGCCTGGACCTGCACGCCACCTCGGGCTCCGGCCTCACTCCCCGCCCGTGTGAGGACCCGGATCCCCACTCATGTTCAGTCAGCAGGGAGTCAGAGCCAAGTGTGAGCAGTGCGAAGGATCTCCATATACTCTAGCTAAAAGAAGGTGCTTAGTGAACAATACAATAACTTTGATGACATTAAAAACACAATAGGTTAACAGTGAATCAAACATCCTGTTCACGGGAAGGTCAGATGAGCTGCAAATCTCTCCAGGAGCAATGCGTATTCTCTGCACGATGGAAAATTCTGCTCAGTGAATAGGGGAAGGTTTAAATGATGAGCTGACTCATAGGAATATTAAAACGATATTATGCTTTTGTGCTTTAAAAAGTGAAAATTATTCAGTGATGTGAAGACCATGACTATTTTAAAGAAAAGGTATTTTCCCCCATTAAATATGTTTAGAAAACTGTCATTCATATTTTGTGCTTTCTGTAAAGATTTCATATAAATTTAATGAAGCTAATTTATGTAGTAATTACAATAAAGATTTTCCAAAAATCCCCAGGAAGCTAAGCAATTTGCTCATTTTTATTATTAGTTGAACTCAAAACTCCTGACTCGAGTAAGGTCACCCACCTGTGTCAGGGCCCACGGTCTGCACGCACTCTCACCACACTGAGAAACTCCTGCCGTGTCAGGTCACCCACCCGTGTCAGGGCCCACGGTCTGCACGCACTCTCACCACACTGAGCAACTCCTGCCGTGTCAGGTCACCCACCCGTGTCAGGGCCCACGGTCTGCAGGCACTCTCACCACACTGAGAAACTCCTGCCGTGTCAGGTCACCCACCCGTGTCAGGGCCCATGGTCTGCACGCACTCTCACCACACTGAGAAACTCCTGCCGTGTCAGGTCACCCACCCGTGTCAGGGCCCATGGTCTGCACGCACTCTCACCACACTGAGAAACTCCTGCCGTGTCAGGTCACCTGCCGTGTCAGGGCCCACGGTCTGCACGCACTCTCACCACACTGAGAAACTCCTGCCGTGTCAGGTCACCCACCCGTGTCAGGGCCCACGGTCTGCAGGCACTCTCACCACACTGAGAAACTCCTGCCGTGTCAGGTCACCCACCCGTGTCAGGGCCCATGGTCTGCACACACTCTCACCACACTGAGAAACTCCTGCCGTGTCAGGTCACCCACCCGTGTCAGGGCCCACGGTCTGCAGGCACTCTCACCACACTGAGAAACTCCTGCCGTGTCAGGTCACCCGCCTGTGTCAGGGCCCACGGTCTGCAGGCACTCTCACCACACTGAGAAACTCCTGCCGTGTCAGGTCACCCGCCTGTGTCAGGGCCCACGGTCTGCAGGCACTCTCACCACACTGAGAAACTCCTGCCGTGTCAGGTCACCCACCCGTGTCAGGGCCCACGGTCTGCACGCACTCTCACCACACTGAGAAACTCCTGCCGTGTCAGGTCACCCGCCTGTGTCAGGGCCCACGGTCTGCAGGCACTCTCACCACACTGAGAAACTCCTGCCGTGTCAGGTCACCGGCCTGTGTCAGGGCCCACGGTCTGCAGGCACTCTCACCACACTGAGAAACTCCTGCCGTGTCAGGGCCCACGGTCTGCACGCACTCTCACCACACTGAGCAACTCCTGCCGTGTCAGGTCACCCACCCGTGTCAGGGCCCACGGTCTGCAGGCACTCTCACCACACTGAGAAACTCCTGCCGTGTCAGGTCACCCGCCTGTGTCAGGGCCCACGGTCTGCAGGCACTCTCACCACACTGAGCAACTCCTGCCGTGTCAGGTCACCCACCCGTGTCAGGGCCCACGGTCTGCAGGCACTCTCACCACACTGAGAAACTCCTGCCGTGTCAGGTCACCCGCCTGTGTCAGGGCCCACGGTCTGCAGGCACTCTCACCACACTGAGAAACTCCTGCCGTGTCAGGTCACCCACCCGTGTCAGGGCCCACGGTCTGCACGCACTCTCACCACACTGAGCAACTCCTGCCGTGTCAGGTCACCCACCCGTGTCAGGGCCCACGGTCTGCACGCACTCTCACCACACTGAGCAACTCCTGCCGTGTCAGGTCACCCACCCGTGTCAGGGCCCACGGTCTGCAGGCACTCTCACCACACTGAGCAACTCCTGCCGTGTCAGGTCACCTGCCGTGTCAGGGCCCACGGTCTGCACGCACTCTCACCACACTGAGAAACTCCTGCCGTGTCAGGTCACCTGCCGTGTCAGGGCCCACGGTCTGCAGGCACTCTCACCACACTGAGCAACTCCTGCCGTGTCAGGTCACCCACCCGTGTCAGGGCCCACGGTCTGCACACACTCTCACCACACTGAGAAACTCCTGCCGTGTCAGGTCACCTGCCGTGTCACGGCCCACGGTCTGCACGCACTCTCACCACACTGAGAAACTCCTGCCGTGTCAGGTCACCCACCCGTGTCAGGGCCCACGGTCTGCACACACTCTCACCACACTGAGAAACTCCTGCCGTGTCAGGTCACCCACCCGTGTCAGGGCCCACGGTCTGCACACACTCTCACCACACTGAGAAACTCCTGCCGTGTCAGGTCACCCACCCGTGTCAGGGCCCACGGTCTGCAGGCACTCTCACCACACTGAGAAACTCCTGCCGTGTCAGGTCACCTGCCGTGTCAGGGCCCACGGTCTGCAGGCACTCTCACCACACTGAGCAACTCCTGCCGTGTCAGGTCACCCACCCGTGTCAGGGCCCACGGTCTGCACACACTCTCACCACACTGAGAAACTCCTGCCGTGTCAGGTCACCTGCCGTGTCACGGCCCACGGTCTGCACGCACTCTCACCACACTGAGAAACTCCTGCCGTGTCAGGTCACCCACCCGTGTCAGGGCCCACGGTCTGCACACACTCTCACCACACTGAGAAACTCCTGCCGTGTCAGGTCACCCACCCGTGTCAGGGCCCACGGTCTGCACACACTCTCACCACACTGAGAAACTCCTGCCGTGTCAGGTCACCCACCCGTGTCAGGGCCCACGGTCTGCAGGCACTCTCACCACACTGAGCAACTCCTGCCGTGTCAGGTCACCTGCCGTGTCAGGGCCCATGGTCTGCACACACTCTCACCACACTGAGAAACTCCTGCCGTGTCAGGTCACCCACCCGTGTCAGGGCCCACGGTCTGCAGGCACTCTCACCACACTGAGCAACTCCTGCCGTGTCAGGGCCCATGGTCTGCACGCACTCTCACCACACTGAGGATGCTTTACCCCTGGATACAGAACTGTGTCTTTTACAGAGACAGTCTCTTTACTCTGTCGAACGTCCACTCGCAGTGAAGTTTCCCTTCCAGAGGCCCCTGGGGAAACTCCCAAACGCAGCCTGAGACACGCGTGAGGACGTGTCCTTCTCCCAGGCGCCCTCCACGCTGCCACCAGCATGATCACAACACAGAAGTCAGATCTGATCTCTCCTTGTCTTCCAGGATGCAGGGCAGCCTGTCACCTGTCACGGAAGGCCTACCTGCCTGTTTCCAGGCTCACTTCCTGCTACTCCCTCCCGAGAACGTGCTCTCTGCAGAACCAGCCATCTGGTGAACAGAGTCTTGAAATTCAGCTCAAATGTCCGCACCCCTGCTGAGGCCTTTCCTCCCAGGCGAAGCTCCCCCTCCACTGTCACCACTGTCACGTCTCTGGTCATGGTGATCACTATATACCACGATGTTCTGTTTCATATCTGTCTTCCCTGAACTTCTTGGGGGAGGAGTCGTGCCTGCGTGAGCTCTGCATCTCTGTGGCTCCTACGTGCTTGGGGACAGCAGGTGCTCAGATGCTGTCGGACGACTGCGCACTATACACCCGCATCTGCCTGGCCTGCCTAAGGGTCGCTGCCTGCCTGCACCTTCCGACGGGGAGTCTTGGAAGGGCCTATGTCAAAGCACTTCATTAAAGTGAGTATTTTTACCAATTGCAGTGACTACTGTACCAGGATTATTTGAAAGCTGCTCCATTTTTACATGATCTGAAATGCGGATGATTCGCACAAGAGAGTGGTCAGAGGTGAACAGGCACAGAGTGCCGGAGAGCCACGGAGACCACGTCGATGCCAGTGCTGCACTGTGTGAAGCAGCCACGTGCAGAAGAGGGGCAACACTGCCAGTTCCGCCCGAGACGCAGGCGAACCTGCTCCGCGGAAACGTCATACCGCTGCAGTTGTCAGCCCGCTGGAGAACGCACCAGGGGGCGTCCTGGCGACAAGGGCGCACGGGCTCACGGACCGGTGAGCCAGTTAGCTTTACTGAATCCAAGAGCTTATTCTACTACCACGGATGGCCACGCAGAAACAGTGCGGGGAGTAGGGGCGGCCACCAGCAATCCCTCACCATTCCTGGAAAACAATGACATTCCTTTTTTCTGTTGATGTTGCATTAGCCTCCAAACATTTGCATAAAA